TCAGTGAGCGGATGAATGCAACGCACTCATCAGTAATGAATGAACCAGTGCGATCGACCCATCCGCATAGGCATAACACAGTGTATATCTAAGTGAAATCCGTCTTACTTTCCAGTGAAACGGGAACCAGATTCGTGTTGGAAGTTGTCGGATAACTGCAATCCTCACTTATCGGAGCCACGATCACTGCACCGTGAAGTAAATGCGAATATCAAAGCAGAACGGTTTCGCCACCGCCATGGCTGGTAGACAATATCTATTCTTGATTTAAGTTACAGTCATGTCGAAACAGGTGATGCTGAATGGTGAAGAAAGTTGACTGCTTGTTACATATATGAATAAATTCACACGACAGAATAGAAGTTTGCACAGTGTTCAAGCGCACACAACAGAGGATGTTGAAGAGTTGTGTCGTACTCACTAACCGGTGTAATACCTTGATTTACTGATGTACTATATCACTCATTATCGTCATTGGTTGTGGCCTGACCACCTGATACGCCACTGTGGGCCCGATTTCACCCCTACCCAAACACATCCTGAACTATACCAACCAAACTATCCGTTTCGTTTAAGGTTAGTTAGACAAATCTGGTATAGCTGCGAGTGCGAGCTTGAAGTTTGTAGCAGTACAATCATGAAGGGTCACGTGATATCGGCAACATAAACAGGTGTCTAGTTGCGTGTATTCGCTAATGATGGGAAGGAACGAACTGGTTGTGTGTCAAGATAGGATCCTGATTCTGAAATCAGGCCATTGTACGCCGAAGCTATCTTCCAATTGTGATGTGCTTCGCAAGTGGCACTACGGCCCGTTACCTCACTCAAGCGTGCAGTTTTGCCCTGTACAGACAGAGGATACAGAGGGCAAGGGGATCCTATCTCCTGATACTCCTTAAATTAAACTCACGACAACACAATGAACGTAATCATAAAACGCAGAGCCGTCTTAAGTAGTGTACACTGGAAATATTAAAACGCGTCTTGCTAGAGTAGTGCTCAGCCCTTTTCTGGAGGGGATAGTTTCGTTTTTCTTTTATATCAGTGGGAAAATTGCAAAGTTTAAAAACTGATTATAAGAGGGGGCCCAAATGGGAGTCCTTCACATAGGTTAGTGTGAAAGATCCGGGAAAAAAACGAGTGCACGACCAAAACCATTGAACTTTCTCCGTTATCCCAACTTCGAGTCCCCATATGGAATACTGTATGCTGGCTACTTTTCAGAAATATTACACACACAGTTAGAGTTACACACGAAAGCGTAAGCTATGGTCTTACTAATTTGAGAATCAAATGAAACTCAACAGAATTTTTCGTACGCTTTCCCGCATCAGAACCTTTCACTAGAACCAATGATTGGACCACTCACTTTAATAACTGCCCCAGCTCCGGCTTGCACTATATCTCCTGGAATTTGTCGTAAATTGCAGCCTTCTAGACTCAAAAAGGAAAGAAGCGGTAGTGCAGCCAATTCGACGGGCAGTTGGTCCAAAGGTTTGTTGTTTTTCAGGCACAAACGAGTTAGTTGCTTCAAGTCGCCTGAAAATAAGAACTGCGATCATTAGTGCTTCAAACGGACGCAGTCAGTATAAAAAGGTTGTCTTCATCCAGCAAGCAATGTAGAGGTCAACAGGCATCATGCATTCGGATGCTCAAACTAGAATGAAAGGCAGACATAACCGGTGTTTGATAGCAAACACAATGTGGAAAGAAGACACCCCATCACTAGATAACGTTAAAATGATAAAGAATATGAGCTTCACCATCGATTTTTCCGGCTTCTGTGAATTTGATCCTTAGTGCATCGAAATCGCTTGAATACTTCGACTTCTGTTTCAATCATGGTTGGCCTATTTGGACCACCCTCATCAAATAGCAGGTGCGCTACTACACTACTAAAACAGAATGGAGGAGAGAGTGTACCTAAAAAAAGATAAAGTTTCATAGGTCGGGGAGTGTTGGAGACCAGTCGAAATGAAAGTCAACCTATTTACTGCGGTCCATGTCTGTGCAGGAAAGCCTACTGTAAGGTACGCCGGGCCCTGAAGCATGTCTGATGAAGGATGAACGTTGTAGCCTTCTAGCTTCCATCGTGTCAGGCCTACCCGCCACCTACCGGAATGTTGAGTTCACAAGCCAAAAAGCAAGGAACAACTTGGAGTCAGATCAACAAAGCTCACAAGCCGGAATCGAGACGGGTCAAGGAAGGGGATCACTTCAGCATCAACATGTTATCTTTCAAACCATTATGCATCTAGCGTTAAATGACCTACACAGTAATTTCATCCTTTTGCTGTTTTCAGTGTTCCTTTACCAATGTCTTCTACAGTGAACTGTGTGGCTGCAGTGCACAATCCCAACTGGTCTCTTGCACCTAAACAGTCTTTTGTCGAGTTCAGTGTCTAACTACTTGTACTTTTAGACTGATAAACCTTTCTGTTTCCTTCAATCTTAGTCACATTTGACAGAGCTTCATCTCACCCCTACGGTGCTCATGGTTACTTTATCTCTTTCCCGGGACTACGTGAGGAAGATTACTGTCTAAAAGCAGCGTTGTGAAAACACCATTCCAGGCAGAGTGGAATCTCAGGGAATGCCACGGTTGAGTTCGTTGGAAGCAGACATCTTGCCGCTTGTTACGACTTTGTCAAATTTATTCTCGCCGACATTAGCCAGTTTCTCTTCAACCACTTAATAAAAATACCCTCATGTCGTGCGCCCGTCACATGAACAAATTGTGCGCGCCGGGACTCGTACTTGCTGAAGTCCTGTTGCCCTTTATTGGACTATTTTCATTATCTACATCGGCGCGGTCGTAAGCTTGCGCGCTGAAAATTCACCTTAGGGGGCACAAGACTATACTAGCAGCAGTCGAGGGTTCATGAGGGCTTGCAACCCTGCATGGCTTGAACAGGACTTCTGGACTTCATACGTAACTAAGCACATATCCTTGCTCAAATAGTTCAGTAGGCAGTAAGTGTACCACACATATTTTAATAGCTATTCACGCGCTTCACAGAAATCGTGAACCACTTAACTACTCCGAATCGGTCAAATTCCCCCACAGATTTGTTACACAAATGTGTGAGGGTGATTCGACAACAGCTCTCTTTCAGAAAAAGACATCCTTCAGTGGGTCCCTTAAAGTGCACCTAGAGAGTAAACGCCCACTGAGTAAAGATCATTTCCGATCGACTCCATTAGGAGAAGAAGGAAAGTAACTATATCCACTATCGCATAAGATAATATACTGCTTAGAGGCGTGATATTATGATCGTTTCCAATTTCCCCCATGATAAAGGGGTTTTCTTGACTGAGGGACAACGTTTATGATGATCTGTTTGCTTTCGTAGTAAAGGTACCAATATGCAACTGTGATTATCAACATAATCACAGTTATAATTAAAATTCAGTAGGATAAATGGAATAACGAAGATCTAAGGAATTGCAAAAAAACACTTTCCCGAAAAAACTATATTCTTCAAAGCCGAGAATCGAACACTCTAGTGCACTGGCACAGCAAACCGGTACACTAAGAGATCAGCCAGAAATAATGTGAGCTATTAAACAAGAAACCTCCGGGTGGTTGCAAAACATATTTTCATCAGGAATTTAGAAATGTTGTGCTATTGTCTGCCTAAGCGTTTGTATGAATGTGCACAAGTGGGTACCTTGGTCGCTGCACCAGTTTTACGTGCACGCGTACAGGTGTTCAACACAAACATATTCCAAGTGATCCGAGCAGCAATAAACTTGTTTGCCCACAATCAAAACTGATTACTCTGATCATTTCCAAGTCTGCTCAGCGTTTCGGACTCGGTGAGGGGAATGAAACACAGGGTGCCAGCGAATGCACAAGCTCAACAATGCTAAGGATGGTAGCGACACGACAGAAACTACATGTACATGTAATTGACTCCGAAATTAAATAACTAAACAGCCTTAATTTCAAGTAAGAAAGTACTGATTGATTGGTCTGAGTAATCGTCGATTCTAGCATATGGGTCTTGATGTGCTAACGTGCTTTAAAAGGTCTCAATTAGTGTGCTTGTGGATGGTCCCCCCAAAAAGTTTAACTTTCAGTGTTCGTAGATTACAGGAAGCGAAAAGAGGACCGACACAGGTGGTCCTAGTTCAGAGGTGTCTTCTGTCGGAGAAAGCTTTATCTCACATAAAGGTAGGTGGTCATTCTCATGCGTCATTTTTTAATAACACTGCAGTACATCAGCAATGTTATGAAGATATTCGTTCCTCCAGTCTGCGTGAGGCTCCAAAAACTGGCCATTCATGTCCAGCTTTTTTGGAAGAGGCCTCACCGAAAGGGAATCTTTTTAAATGGAGTGGTGATATCACCGAAATTTGCTGCATTGTGAAATCCTGGGCAATAATTCTTTCGAAAACACTGCACTCAGTAGGATTTCTACGTATATAGAACGCGATTCTAGCTCCTGGCGAATGACAAGTTTGTGTGGATATCCTAGATATTTCACTTCGTTTGGTGACCTGAGGTCCCACGGCTTATTCACTATTTCTGAATACTCTCATCGCATACTAGAGAAAACAGGATCAGTGAACGCCATCTTTTGAAGTGGGACATTTTTAGCGAGTTCATTGCTTTATGAGGACCCATCTAGAGAGGAAACTCTACCTCGCTCCCATCATTTGATATTCAGAAAACAATCTAAATAGTTACGTGCCATTGAAACAAAAATTATATTCCCGGCTTCCCAGCCACATCGAGAACAAACCAAGGCGGTATGTGGTCACTTATTGGAGCACAGCTCACGTGAAACCTTTTCCGCAAGTTCTTCCTTCTTGTCAATATCGACAGGGTATTCAAACCTGTGAAGATCTGAGGTGGTCTTTGTTAGGAGTTGGTGACGGTCTTCAAAAGATTGTGCAGTCATTTAATCAGACTACAGTGCTCTTGATTGTGGGTCATCTCGATTGGACAACACTCATTCAAGGGAATCTTCAGCGAACCTTCAGAACTGAGAACCCCAAGGTAAACACGTCATACGTTGTTTCAACTGAGAGAGTAGTTAAAGTTTACGGTACGTAACAAGTATCAAAGCCGACCTCAAACCTCAAACCGAAAAGCACCTGAATGGGAACTGAAAATTTGTTACGGTTGATCAGACGATATTTTTGCGTCATAATTTGAGGCATCAAAATTTTTGCTACAGAAACCTCAGAGATAATCACTTCGAGTGGCTTGATAAATTAGAAAATATGAAATAAACAAACAAACTCACCTATCTGCGTTGGAAGACGTTGAATCATATTATCTTCTAGCTTGAGGCTCGTGAGGTTGTGCAGATTTCTAAAAGATAACGAAAACTAGGAGGGTTGGAATAGGCAGCCAGACGGAAGGCCCAAACATATAGAAGAGCAGCCCCGGAACCTAAATCTGCCTAACTTTTTGTAGGATAAAAACCACCGTCCTATGAAGTTTGTACAGATGACAGAGTTAAGTGTGGGTAATGTGGTAGAGACTGTTTAAAATGGCTTGCCGAATGGTCCAAAGTTCAGGTTATTTTTAATGCGGACATTTCTTCATACTCACCACTGAACCTCTTTAATGACCAGCCTACTACCACGTCGGATGGACAGAGTTTAAACGAATTTTATCAGATCCGTGATCAGATCTTTTAAAATGAAACTACACAAGAACTTGCCATCGACTCCTCAATATTATTAAAGGATTCAGTTTCTTCTGAATGAGAAAACATCCTTTATGCAAACATCATGGCGTCACTTGATCGTTCTGACAAAATCAGCTGTAGAATAATAAAGCGAAGCAGTAACACAACCTTCCAGCTCTTCTAAGTTAGGTTCGTCATAGGACGTAACAGAAGGGGCATGCATGAAAAACTTGATTCCTTGGGGAAACTGACGCATTTTAAAGGAACAGCACACAAAAGTCAAAGAAAATTTTGCCCCCGTTGTAGTTAACTGATGGAAGTAATCATTGAGAATCGCTGCGAGAACAGAGAGCAATGGGCAAAAACCATCGCCAATACGAAACACCAAGACACCTACTAATACCGATGACGCAAAGTCCCGAGTAATGGAGTTACACTTTAGAATGATCAATTAGATATACCTTAGCACCCAAAAGGTCGCTTATTTCAAGGAAAGATTATTCTTTTTTTAATGGTCATGCTTGCAGGGTGTTCAGTTGCTAGGATCTATCAATGTATTTCATTCACGATGGTAGGACCATATCTTGTTTAAGCGCTAGTCAATCGCATTCCTGATCAACCACTCATGACCGAAAGGCAACGTAATCAGCTACCAACGAGCAGATGGCAGGTTCACATTGACCTAGAGATTTTTTTAGATGTGCTGTGATGATATTCTCCATAAAACTGAAAAAGCTGTATTTTGCTTGTCCAATTCTCAGCATAGACTGGCTCAAAGGGTGGAATCCATCAGTTCGAAGTGGTCGAGACTGTCGCACGCTGAACTTAGCTTTGCGACGCCTCGAAGTTCTCACTGTTACGGCGGGTGATTGTGACTTGAAAAAATATCAGCATCCAAGTAAACTCACCCGATTGCGCAAGGAATTCTGGTGAGGCGGTTCGCATCCAAATTTAACACTCGAAGATTTTCCAATTCCCCAATACTCTTTGGCAAATGAGTGATGTGATTGAATTCCAAATTGAGTTTGACCAATCGGGTTAGTTTTCCTATGGAAACTGGGAGTTCCTAAGACGTGAAAATCTTTGTTAGATTATCATCAGTGGGACGGCAGGAAAACAGTATTTAAAAAAGCAAATTTTCCAAGTAGCCGATTTGACCTGAGCAACTCACATTTGTGTGAATTTTCCACTATAAAAAGAGGAAGCTGGCACATACTTCATCTGACTTTTCATATTTAAATGATAGCACCAATGTCACGATGTATCATCCCAAAACCGGCATTTGCACCCTAGAGGACAAACTGAAGTGAAGCAAGTGAACAAAATACTTTACTTTATTTCGGCGAGTTTCCTGTCACCTTTTGTTCAGCAACGTTTTTTTTCATTCATGTTAACTGATTGACCTCACCAGGAGTTTCAAAAAAGACTTTCCCAGTTCCAGTTTCATAAGGTTATCCACGACATAGACACACAAGTGTTGATTGCCGAATAGTGATAATTAGCTATTGTATCGATTAAGTGAAAATAACAGCAAATGTTATTTGAAAAGTTTTAAGTCACATGACTGAGAGAGTTTACGTTATCACGTAACCGCATATCTGCATACATTCGTGCGTTCTAGCTAAGTGAAAATCCAACCCAAAAACAATAGCTGAAAAGCAACACTAACTCCTTCCCCATTTCGTCCTTGCGCTCATCTCGTCTATACTTCGAATGCTTAAAGAGACACTCATGCAAATTTCGTCCCTTTGCCATTTGTTTTAAGTCATTTCGGTATGAATGTGTCACTAAAATGCACACGCTGGTAGAAATATGGACATGAAGATGCCTGGCTTTATCGTACTAACCACACATGGCTCCGTCAGTGGAGTGCAACCTCCAGCAAAACCCACCAGCGAGATCTATGGCGAAGCACCGGACCGAGGATTAAGATTAAGCAAACACATACTTGTCCACCTATCGATTGTGAAGTAGTTTACAAATCCACTTCATTCTCGTACGAAAATCAGATCGACACCCACAGTTGTATGTCTGCTGCAAGATAAAATATGAATGAATGGCTTCGTACCGACTAGAAGACCGATTTGACCTTTGAGGCACAAAATGGGCGGAAGATAAGGATGTTGTGGACAGTTTTAGGCGGCTAGTAGTTAGTTCCTAGCTAATATCTACACACAAAAGATGTAATGGATGCGCGATGGTTAAAAAATAAAAGCGGTTTCAAAAATGGTCGTTGGCTCTTCGGCCCTGGAAAATTTGAGGAACCTCCACATCATGATGACTCGACTGTGACCAAGAGGAACAGTCGAACAGGAACGAGCAGCCCCAATTCTGAATTGACTTAGGAATCAGATTAGGCGTAAAGGGCTTACTCCCAGCTTTTTGTGGTCATTGTGATCCAGCCGGTATGAGTTTTGGTGTAACCTAAGGAATTCACGTGCAACTTCGGCGTCATTGTGTGCAACATAATGATGACTCATAACGGAGCACAATTTGAATATTGTTGCACGGGCTGCTTACATTTTCGAATAACTTAAACATAATCCAAAACCGCTTGCGGGTCCACCTACTGAGCAATGTATCTGGTAGATCGCATAGACGGCTGCGTCCCAGCTTCGCTCTCTATCTCTCTCACTATCTTGAATTTCGCAGTCGGCCGTTCACTATGCTCGCACTCATTCCGTATTACCAATATGATGTAAATGTGCCAGTCACCAGCTCAACTCTATCAACGACAGTAACTCTTAGAACTGACTAACATCATCATCGATAGCAAGATACCAGTGTTCAATAATAATGCTTCGCTGCCGTACAATCATGATTTGTTTGTAAGCCTATTTGTGAAGAAAAAATAAAGATGGACGGGGAAACAATTAAGTGCTACCTTACTACAATCATTCCGAGGTGGCTACACCTCTAGACAGTCATTCAGGCGATCTGAATAGGAACTAACAATACGAACAGCACTGACGTCGGTTGGCAGCCATATCTTTCAGCGTCTCTAACCAAGCGCAGTGGGGATCACGCGGTCCTCATCCTAGAAAACGAGTAGCATCAACAGGACTCGAACGTTTCTTAATATCCTTCATACCTTTCTGCCATGTCATGGTTTGGCCACTCTGATTTGGCATGAAAAGTAGCACTCTCTTCGGCAAACGGTGGTTTATAATACGCAACACACGTCCAAAACAACGCAGCTTATGATGATGGTCACACTCTTCAATGAAGGTAGCCGTTGCACAACCGAAAACTCGCTTTCTAATTGCCTCGTCACGGGTTCGTCGACACCAGTCCACACGAGTTATGGTTCTGAGACAACGATTGTCGAACACATGAAAACGTCTCATTTCGGCTGCTTGAACAGGCCACGTCTCACAGCCATACAACGAAACAGCCCTCACTATAGCTTGATATACAAGTCTATTGAGATTCAGGGATACACCACTTTGACGCCATAGGTATCTCAACTTAGAAAACGCGACCCGGGTCTTAGAGATTCCGGTACTGTCACACTACACTCAGAACTAGTACAACTCCCCTGGATTGTAAGTGGCGTGTTCAGTGATTGCATGTCCAGGAGCATGACCTGACTATACTGATTGTACTTTAGTGCGGTTTACATGGATAGTTTGCAATAAACTAGTCCGTTCGAGGCTTACCATCACTTTCTTGCAGAGAATAGTTCAGTGTTTGATCAACCACCGTAGTCTCAACACTGGTGTGCAAAGGCTTTCAGACTCCTTTTGGACTGGGTATAAACCCAATTCAGTGTAGTAAATGCGTCCATACGGCGAAACGATGAACGCTTGAAACACAGGTTGCCCATATCAAAAGATGTCAAGTTAACAAGACCGCAAAGGCGGGAAAAATCTTTGTGTCGTTATATCAAGTTAACTGCTTCGGTGGGCCCAAGTTGAGGACAAACTTTTAAAACTATCTAGGCTGTTCTGTCCTCCAGAAAAAGATAGCATACATAACACGAAAGAGCAGATTTATTTTAGTATTTTACACTTAGTTACTCTTCAAGAACATTTGGCACTAAGCAGCTTTCAGGCAACTCGCAATGACTGTAAAATATATCCGCTGGTTGATATGATTTTTGGCAAATTCAGCATAGAGTACGCCAGTCAGGTATGATATGATCTTTTTTCAGAAAACCTGTTTGTCGACAACCAGTTTTCACTTCTCTGCGATCGCAGATTGTACAAGCATGTTGTAAGCTTAGTGTCATTGTTCACCTGCAGTTTTGCACCTCAAACCTCGAACATTGATAGTCCCAGTGAATATGTTTATTCAAAGCTCAGTGTATAATGTGTATAATGATACAGTTTGATCAAGATGTTCCAGTGTGCGGCGTTTGCCCGGGTTTTGGTGTGGTGGGAGTAAGCCTTTACCCACCTGTCTAGCTGTGTATATTGCTGATGAGGCATACGAGTAGTCTGGTATCCAAGCTGCGTCCCCGCAGCTGGAGGTGGAGTTTATTAGTCAAATTGTCAAGCCGCTTTGTAGTGTTCTTTTACTATGGTATAATAGTAAATGAATATCCATAAAAGTCCAAGAGGACGCGTGAGAATTTTCAACTTTTGAAAACCAAGTGCATACGAAATATTGACTTTCGTATCTACTGTCTCGTAACCATTCAACGAAAGACTTTCCTCCTTTAACCGGTAGTGGACTGCTCAGAGGTGTCTTGTATACTACTGTGATAAACAGTCCAAAGCGCTTAACCAAGAAATCACCCAGTCGGCGCTTAATCTGCTGCGCCTCAAAAGGACGTAAAGGCCCGTGTGGTTGGGTGCTCTTGGATCTGACCACACCTCTGTAGATATTCATCTTCATTTGTTAATTTTGGCGCCCAAATATCACAAATATCATAAACTTCTTATCACAAACTTACAGACTTAAAAGAAACATTTGTAGAAAACCTTGCGAAAAATTCAAAGTGGGTTAAGATCAGATCAAAGTTTCGGGACAAAAATGATTGGACAGTCGTTTCAAACGTTTAAAGTGAATAAATTTGCGCGCGTTGGGAATAAAACTATACAAATATAACCAGTTCCTCCCATTGTAGGTACTCAGTTGGTACAGAATACAAACAAGCTACATTTCACTATTTCTGCCTATATAATTTGAAAATCCGTGAAAATTCACCACCTGGCTTTCGAATTATTTGCCTGTATAAGGGACGGACTGCCTTCGGTATCATTTTCACATTAAATCGCTGCTAATTTCGAGTAACATACCTCCAGGCTGAGCAGGGGGAAAAAGAGGATAATGTGAGGAAATGGTGTTTCGCCATTTACAAAAACCGCCCGACATGACTCACCGCTGTCGATGTGCATCTAAGAAGAGTCCTATTATGAAATATTGTCAAACCGCGTCTCTTCTCCCTACGTCAGTATTTCGCGGTATATGGATCGCAAATGGAAAAAGCGATTCACCGAATCGCTCGGGAAAAGTCTGTGGTATGTTCGTAATCGTGTAAGACTGGTAATTAACTAGGTACTTCATTACTGTCAACACATTTCCGGACGGATGAGACTAGAGAAGTGTAACCATCATATGGGATGATCAGGAATACAACAAAGGCTCTGGCTGGAGAACTGAGGACGTCGGCGGCAAGAGGTTCACTTATCCAAGCCATCAAAAAATGTTTTTGTCTATTCCGGTGATTGACACTCTGAAATAGGGACCAGCGGGAGCATTCGATTCATCAGATATTGCTTCACAAAAAACATTATAAATATTTGGACCAGTGAATTGATCCTCTGGTGTGCGACTTGTTCCGTTAAAGTGTATACCTTCGGCCCTGGTGTTTGGCTGAACCCAGCCTCAAAATCCTGCGAGTTGTCTCTCCTATTTGTATCTATACCCTAGTGCAACATCAGTCAGTGTCGTAGCAAACAGTTGGGAACAACTTGAGATTTTAATCAGCAACATTCAGCCGCAAATATCAGTTAATACGCCCCAGGTACAAGGAATATTGCCACAATGGATTTATTAGGTGACAGTTCTTGGCTAACCATCAGAGGCGTCCACAATTTACACAGGATTTTTCTTGTGCAT